ATGTGCAAAATTACAGATAACTTTCCTGAAAAAGAAAATGAATATCCAGCATTATCTTATCACCATAAAATGTTCGCTTACAACAGTAACAATCTAACTGAAGTACCATGATAATCATAACGATGAAAAGAATAGGTTCGCACGTATCAATACAAAGACCACACAAGTAAAGCAACTGGCAAAGATCAAAGCGTTGCAATGCATAAACCTTTATACTCTCGGGCAATTCCCTAATCCTTATGTTCGAGTACCGCTCATCCAAAAGCAGCAACCTTGTCGGCCCCCTCCATTTTTTGGCAAACTCCTTCCCTAACAAACTACTCATATCCTCCCCTTCACTGTCATCTTCCTCTGTAACCACCTCCAGCAGTGCCATCTCATTCCTCCCAACCACTCTTTTCTCTCTCGTGTGACCATTATCACTATCCACTCCATCCTTTTTTCTCTTCTTTTTTGGCCTAGAAATTTTTGCCAAATTCCTGAACTTCACATATCCTCTTGAATTAAACGTCCTGGCAAGCTTATCCCGGTACAAAACCGGGCTAAGCAGCTCCCCATCCCCCTCGGCTTTCCCATAAATTCTCCTATTCAATGTTACTAGGGCATCACTTTCCTCGCCAACATCGGATTTAGGAAAGAGGGTTTTGAGTCGATCATCAATTTCATCGCCAGGGACTCTGGCAATGTTCTTAATGCGAGGCCAGTTGAGGAGGTGTCCACGGAGACGGCTTTCGAGACTAAAGCAGAGGTCAGAGGGGACACGGAGGGCAGAAATGTCGAACACCCGAGTGAATGCGTCCACGTCTAGTTGCACTAAATTGTTGTTAGTACTGGTGTCTTCGAAGGAGGACGGGTTCCGCAGTTTGAGGGGATTGGGTGAGTGGCCTTTACTGAGGGATGGACCATACGCGATGGTTGAAAATGACAGTTTTCCGACCGAGGCGGAGGAGGTGGAGGTGGTGGTGGTGGTGGTGGAGAGGACGGATTTGGGGAAGAGGCCGCGGCGAGAAATGAAGGCGCTGGGTAGAGAATTTGGGCGGAGGACAATAGATTTGGTGGCCATGGTGGTTTGTTAGAAGAGTCGGCCTTCGGTTTATCAGGCTAGCCAAAGAAATGACTGGGTTGCAATGTAATTAGGAGTTACTCATAAGCTTGGTCGAACATGTTAGTACATGTTTTATTATTATTATTATTATTTTTATTTTTATTTTATTTTTAAACCATGGATCGTCCTCAAGTTCGTCCCAAAAACATCTTACTTGAAGTTGTCTCTTCTAGGACACCATCCCTTGTCACCAATAGATTATATACTCAAAATGACATCCGTGACATAGTACCAAAATAGTAGAAGTAAAATTAGTTCTTGGTTTGTAGTGCTTTTAAGTTTTTGGAGAACGATTCATGCAGTACTGATGATAACGAAAGTTTATAACAATTTCATGCTAGATAACTTGGTTAGAAAATCTAATACAAATATTAACTCTTGAGTTAAGAGCCAAAGGGATTAACATACTTTATTTCGTATGCCACGCAAAGTATTATCGTGATTCCATAGATTAAATACATGTCAAAATGATTAATAGTTTTATATATAAAAATTAGATTGAGTCTAATCTTGTTCCCAAAATTTATGTCAATATAGAGATGTACAACTTTTTAATTGAAATACTCTAACATATCTCATGGCGTATGGAATAATTTTTGTTAACATATGGTGACATTTAACATTGACAAATAGGATTTCACATTAGTTTTTTCAATCGAATTTTGTGTATAACTATTATAAACATTAGTTACTCATAGAATAAAAAGATTACTTCAATGACAATGGTGAAATTTCTTAAAAACTTCAGTCAAAATTGGTGAAATTAATCCAAAAATATCATCTCATCATTCCAATGTGAATTTATTATTTTTCTTTCAAATCTTTTTCTACTTAATTTATTTCTTCTGTTACCATATTTCCTTTTTCTTTTTCTCTTCAAGCCATTAAACTCTACTTGCCTAGAATATTCAAATACAGGGATACCCACACAAATTTCCATTCAGACAATTTGAATATGATAATTTGACCGTTGCTCACGAAACATATATAGTTACTAGTCCTATCACGTGAGTTGCACGAATTTTGTATTTATATTATTTTTATTAGTGTATGAATTTTAATTTTTTTGGAAAGTTTTTGAAGTAATATTTAAAAATATTTTCATGATATAAAAAAATAATTGCAAATTATTTTTACAATTGCATAGCAGTATGTTATGTAAAAAAATATGCTTGTATAATTCATACTTAAATAAGAAATATACAAATTATTTTGTTTGTATTCTTTGATAATGTTAATGTGATTGAATTGAATGTGAAAATTATATTTCTAAATTTTGTGTAATTCAATATTGTAGGATTGAAAAAAAATCTCCGCACAGTGCGGAGAGAGTTAAACCATGTGCGGAGAGTTGGCAAACTCTTCGCACAGTGCGAAGTTAAGAAAAAAAAGATACTCGACATAGTGCGGAGAGATGAGAAACCAACTCTCCGCACAGTACGGAGAGCAAAAAAAAAACTCTCTACACTGTGCGGAGCGAATTAATTTCTTTGCACAATGCGGAGAGCTAGTCAGCACCATGGCAAAACTCTCCGCACAATGCGTAGAGAGTTGAACCATGTGCCGAGTAAAAAAAAATACGGAGAGAAAAAAAAATCTCCGCACAGTGCGGAGAGAGTTGAACCATTGTAGAGAGTTGGCAAACTCTCCACACAGTGCGGAGAGTTGTTTTAAAATTCCTTAATTACAAATCAAATTTCAAGATTATAAATTTTTTGTATATACAACGAAACAGAGTCGAAAAACATGGCTCAAAATCAATTATGTCTTCTTTAAATTTCAGTCACAACTCAATTTCTGAGCATGCAAATCATATTTACGGTATTGAAAATAAGCTTTCTCGTGATTCATACAATGAAACAATATGTGAGTTGTGCAACGAAGGGAATATTGATAGTACCATGGCGTTACTTTCACAAATGGAGGCTCTAGGGTACCACCCAAATTCAATATTTTACACTTGCTTGATAACAGCTATTGGACATTAGAAACTGATACAATTTTCAATAAAATTATACTTTCGGGTTGTAGGCCAGGAGTTAACGTGTTGAATACATTGCTCAATAGTTGTTTGAGAAAATGTCTCTTAGAACTTACAGATAAAGTCCCGAGAATTTTTATTTTTCTCTTCACACTGTGCGGAGAGATAGTTTGACATCCCTCTTACTTTGCGGAGTCTTTTTTCTTTTTTTTTTTTTACTCATGTGCAGAAAAAAAAATTTGGTCTCATGGAATTTATATATACTAAAATTATTATTGTTTTTTAATATTTTTGGCATGATGCGTATGTGAAAGAATATTTTTCAATCACCATAAATAAAATTCTTCACAAAATGCAAAAAATAAAAATGCATAATAAATCTTCTTATTACGCTAATAAAATTACAATAATTTTTTTTTTATAAATAACATAAATAAATCATTTTTATCTTAAAAAACACATTTAAAAATTAGCAATTTCATAATCACCTTTTTTTAATTCTCGGAAATACAGCTATAAAAAATGAAACAATATTGAATTACAACATTTAATACTTAAGAAATTCAATATTAAATAAATTTTACACATTTATAACAAATTATAAATCCATATATGTAACTTACTGTATTGGCAACCAGCTTACCGTATTTACAAACAACTTATCGTATTTGCACCTTATCATACATATTGCTTATCGTATTTGCAACTTACCGTATTTGCAGCCTATCGTATTTGCAAACAACTTACCATATTTTCACCTTACCGTATTTACAGCTTATCATATATGCTGCCTACCGTATATGCAACTTACCGTATATGCTACCTACCGTATTTGCAACTTACTGTATTTTTATATACCGATTTTTGCATTTACAAATACCGAAAATGCGAAACACCGTACATTCACTTACCAAATCGAATTTCAAAAAAATTTCCAGATTTTTATTTTTTCAACTAAGCATAAAATAAATATTAAATATATATGAAGCACTAAATAGAAATGCATATAAATATGGTGCTCGATCTTCAATATTCCAATATTGAAGTACACAAAATTTAAAAATATAATATTCACATTCAACTCAATCATATCAATACTATCAAAGAATACAAGCAAAATAATTTGTATAATCTCGTATATTTTTTATTCAAGTATGAAATAAACAAGTATATTTTTTCTAGATAACACAATCCTGTTATGCAATTGTAAAAATAATTTACAATTATTTTCTTATATCATGAAAATATATCTAAATATTGTTTCAAAAACTTTCCAAAAAACTAAAACTCATACATTAATAAAAATACGATAAATGCACAAATTCGTGCAACGCACATGACAGTCATTGTGTGGAGAGGTTTTTTTTTTAACTTTGCACTGTACGAAGAGTTTGTCAACTCTCCGCACTGTGAGAAGTTTTTTTTTTCTTTTTTTTACCCCGCACAGAATACCGCCTCTCCGCATTGTGCGAAGATATTTTTTTTTTTTTTACTTCGTCTCTCCGCACTATGCAGATAGTTTTTTCGTCCTTTTCTACTTTGCACATGATTTTGCCATCTCTTCGCACTATGCGGATTTTTTTTTTTTCTCATGACAGTTTATATTTACTAAAATTATTATTATTTTTGTAATGCGAGCAACATGATGTGTAGAATAATATTTGTTTGACATAATTATTTTTTTAATGCTAGTGACATGATGTGTGGAAGAACATTTATTTGACATAAACAAAATAAAAAATAAAAAATGACATTATGCATAGTAAAATTGGATTAATTTATTATTGTATCAATAATAGACCCTCGTCATTTTTATTAGAAGTTAGATACGAATGTCATGCCCTATTTAAACTCCTCCTTTTCTTACACAGAATCAGATTCTACTGAGACATTGGATTCAACGTAAAACACGCACACACGAAGAAACACTCTCTGAATATACGCCCTGGAAAATTAAATAAATAAATTAGGTCTTTCTTTCTCTCTCCGTGCCCTCTATCTCTCTATAGAAATTCGCATGGATGTATTAATTAAATAATGATGGACCTCCCTGTGAAGAATAGAGAGTTGACCAAGTTTTTTTCGTGTTTCAAATCTGTAACTTCCGGTGAAGGGGCAGTTAAACAGGCGTTATCCGACGATGAAAGTGGCCGGAAAAAGAAGAAAGTCCGCCGGAGTTTTTCCCGCGCGGTCAAAGCCATGGTTTTTCAGACATCATTGGTAACGTGGTTGAATTCATTGTTTTTTGCTCTTCTTATTCTATGTAAATTTTCATTGCTACAAGAAATTCGTTCTTGGATTGTTTAGTCGAGAAATGGTAGTTCGAGGATATTTCATTGCAAAAGTTTTCGTGGTTAAAATAAAATTTCTTGTAGTATCTATCTAATATATTATTTTCTGATTAAGTTATTTTCTTTCCTCTTCTAAATCCTGGATGAATGATCATCTTATTTTATTCTATAATTTGTTCTACTGATTGATTGATGATGAATTCATCCATACAGATGAAGAAAATTCAGGGCAAGAAGTCTCGGAAAAATTCGTTTCGATCAAACAGTGAGTTATCTTCAACAAATGAAAAATCTGTGTCATACAAGGACTTATCAAATTGCAAAGAAAATTTCAGAACAAATTCAAATCATTCTTCTTCTTTATTCTCATCAAACCCTACAAGCCGTTCAACTTCGATATCTTCTAATTCTTTTCCTTCTTCCTTTAATTATTCACACTCGAGGTCCCTATCAGAAATAAAAAGATCATCTTCATTTGATTACAAAATCCTCAACATCAATAAACAGAAGGGTTTCAATGAATCATATGCTGGAATCTGTATTTTTCTGGTTTCTTTATTTTCTCTGGTTATTTGTGGGAAGGTTCTTGCCATATTAACTTGCACTTCAAGTTGTCTTTTCTTCGCCCCCGCCCCACGGAGGTGCAGAAGAAAACAGTCATTACGGAAGGGATGTTGGAGAGAAATCGAAGGTGCTACCGCCATGAATTTCTGATCGAATAAAGAAGTCAATATTTTGCATGCATGTCTATCCATATTCTGCAATTAATATTTTTTTTTTCCTAATATTCTGAAATACAATTGTAAAAATCTTTAAATTTTCTGCGGAGATACAGATACCCTCTTCATTGATTGCTGTATGCTGGCTTTACAGGAAATAAAAATTTTACAATCTTATTCTATCAGTTCTGCAGTGAACTCTAGTGGTCTTTGAATTATGTTTGCATTTCTTGAGCTACAATTTAAGTCCTTAATTTATTTTGATTGAAATCAGAATTTTAGTAGATTTTGATAAAAGTTAATGAAATTTGTAATTGACAAGTAGATAAAAATAGTGAATCCCATAAAATGTGATCGAAAATAAGTTTTAAGAAACACCCGACAAACTAGGGCTAAGTTTTCAGACGAAGTTGTTCAATATAATATGAATATAAAAAAACGTCTTTAGTTCAACTATCGTCATGTGGAAGTACAATTTGAGATTTTATACAAAACAATATCACACATAAGAAACTCGTAAAATTTATTGCATTCAAAACTTATCGAGTAATATTCGCACATTATTATTAGTTGGTTTGGTTGTCTGTCGTCTTCTCCAGTGACATGCTGTAAATACATACAACAACAAAAGTAAGTATTCGTCAAATCAAAAACTATGTGAAGGTACGTAGTATATTTCAATCAGTTATCTTGTTTTCTTATATTCTATATAACAATAATATATCATTTAAAATACATTGCGTCCAATATTGCTTGACCAATCTGTGGATAAATTTGTATCTTAAATGTTAGGCGTGCCAAAATATAGGCTTCGTCCTAGTCCACATATCTAAATGGGGAAATTGCATACAATAACAATAATTTGATCCAAAGAGACAATATTTTATTATGTGGTGAGTTGGCGTGTCGTGAAATGGTTATGTGTGGCATGATTAGTAATTAAGTAATTTTCTTCAATTTGGGAGAAAAATAGTACTATATAATGCATGAGATCTTAAACATGCGACTCTGTTAGTACATTCATCTTCCATCAATCACTACATTTTCTTCTCATCTTCACCTCCTCCTGTTTATACTTCCTTTCGTACTACACATTACAAGAAAGATATCAACACTAGCATTATCAAATTCTCAATCATAGACAATCCTCTAAGGCCCCGCTTTGGTGAAGGCCCCAAATTATATAAAGTTAACTAATTGGTTGAAGAAAAATGAAAATTATATTTATGAAATTCTGAAAAAAAAAATTATCTCATGTAAACATAAGAAACTAATAAAAATTGAAAAAACAAAAATCTTTAAAATATATATATGGCAACAAACTTATCACTTACCTTTATTTATCACAAATATTACTTTCCCTACTTATAATTAAGTTGACATTTTATCTTCCAAACTTTCATTTTCTTTTTTTAACCAAATAAAAGGTCTCTTTTTCTTTTCAAATTCCATGTCCAACAATCACCCATCATTATTTTTCCAACCCAACAAGATATAAATTATTTCACTTTGAATTAAAATTTTGAAGATTCAATGCAATTTGATTTGATTTCGCTGCTATTGTTATAGCCTTACATGTTTTTTTTTGGAGGGCTTTATTTGCAAAGTTGGTATAATGGATTACATGTGGCAAGTATTTAACTAATATCTCATTTTTCAAATTATTACACACACTCACACACAGTAGAAAAATCGGGCAGTGAAGCTGGGAAAGAAGAGGAGAAAAAACCAAGGAAAAGGAAAAGAAAAAGGAAAAGGAAAAGTAAAAGGAAAAGGAAAAAGAAGGAAGAAATTTGGTGTCAACTACTTGAAGCTTTATATCTTTAATTCTTCAAAAGGTAAAGATTAAAATTTTATGAAATAGTTATGGTTGATTTTCTAGGGTTCTAAGGAATTGTTTGGGTTAATTTTCAGATTGAAGGTAAGAGCATGATTTCAAGCTAATCTTTTTGTTTTGTGAAAGATTTTTGCATCAAGGTAAGTTATACTATTTTTGGCAAACCTAGAGTTTTTAATTGAGTTTTTGAATAAGAATAATTAGGGGAAATGATTTTGATGATGAAATATTAACTTTATGGAATGAATTTATGGAATAAGATGTAAATTAGATTAGTGCATGTGAGAATTCAAGTTTCACTAGATTAGAAGAAAGAATTGTTTTTATGTTTGGGATGAAGGTAATTATGATAAATTAAAGATTAGTGAATGGACTAGAAGGTAGAATTCGTTCCAATTGTGAGCGAGATTAAAGATTATATTCAAGTTTCGAAAAATCAAGTTCTAATATTTCATAGTTAAATGTTAAGAATATGTGGTATGGTAGTTGTTACATGGGTTATTAATTATTTGGTATCATATTTGAGGTGGTGACGAGGAAATTGGAAAAGCTTATCGACCTTCATAGTCTATAGCTTGACTTGTGGGTGTATATAAACTCATTTTTCAAAAATTAGTATCTATTAAATATATATTATATTATAAAATTTATTATTTCATACAGTTAATTTGATAGCATGATTTTTAGGAAATAAAATGGATTCCATAATTTCTTTTTAAAGTTAAATTCAATTCAGTGAAATCATTTGATTAGCATGTTATATGAATATAAATATTTCAGTATATTTAAAATTATTTTTAAAATTACCAGAAAGTATCCAAGTGATTTTACCCCAGTCTGCACTGGTGTGAATGTGTTTCCACAGTGTATGACTAGTTATGGTGATTTTAACCGATCTGCACTATTGTGAATGTGTTTCTATAGTGTATGACTACATTATTAAATGTCTTTGGGACTCACTCTCGTATACACATAGGCTTTGGGCCTTGTACTAGTGTGATTAACCTTTAGGGCAGCTCTGCGTACGTATGACTAGATTACCAGATTAGCTTATTTGAATGGCTTTGTCTTGTACATCAAGATTACCCTGTACATGAGTAAGGCTATTCATTAGTTACCTTTTTGGTGTGATTTTTCAGTATTTCTATAGCTTATCAGATTTCAGATTATAGAATTCAGTTAATTTAGTTTTCAAAATAAAGCTTTTAGCTTATAATATTGAGCAACAGCAATATTTCATAGATTTTCATCGATATCAGATTATTTATGTCATTATACTTTATAGTTGCTTATCCAGAATTATGAACAAAAAATTTTATAATATAATCAAGTTTAGTTTTAAAAGTGTTACCAGATTTAAGAATTTTTCAAAGTTTTAATAGAATTAGAATTTTTCAGAAAATATGCATAAAAGAAAAAGTATGCTTATTTGCAAATTATCCACTCATTGAGCTGTAAGCTCATATTTCTTTTCATCTTTTTCTTTATCAGATAGCAGCCGAGTTGAGCAGTATTGGAATCTGTCAGTTCATTGAAATGAGCCACACGTCATTGGTTCCATGGCCTACTTTATCAGATTATGTAGTACTTATTTCTTGGGTTACATGTAGTTTATGTTAGAAAGGGTTGTCATGAGATCACTATATGTTATATTTAGTAGATTTGAGGATTGTTGGTAGTAAAGCAAGTAAATATCGAATTGTTAATAATTTATTTTGAATAGTTTGGATTTGAGGGACTGATGTACTTGTTTTATATTACATTTATTGATTTGAGGAAATTGATTATGGATCAGGTGATTTTAGTCCATATTTTAGAGGAGACTCTGTCAAAATTCTTTAAAATTTCATCACAGTCAAACAAGTTAAGGTTACCTTGGTTGCAGGTCCGGCACTTAGCTGGTATCTACCATTTGCGCACGACACATGTTGGATCCATTAAGGTGATTTGGGACGGGTCGTGTCATTTGGGGTTAGTATCATGTTTTATTTCTGGGTTAGTAAATGAAGGAAAGCTAAAAGATATTGATTCAACAGGTCAGGAGGTGCTGGAGGTGGTCAAGTGGCTAAGGATGCCCTTGGGAATGATGTAATAGCATCAGCGTCAATGTGGCTAAAAAACCATGGACCTGGTGACAGAACCCTTACTCAAGGCTTGAAGGTACTCGTTTCTCATTTCATATCATCGTGTGTGAACCATATATGTCCTGTTGATTTCTAAGAGATGTCTGATGTGAAAAACAGGGAGATCCGACCTACCTGGTTGTCGAAAATGACAGAACATTGGCAACCTGTGGTATGTGTGCACGTGTCATGGAATGCTGCAGAAAACAAGTTCATTTGTCCATGCCAGGGCTCTCAGTACAACAATCAAGGCAGGGTCGTTAGAGGACCTGCTCCTTTGGTGAGGCCAAATTCTACTCGATAAAAATCCCTCCTCGCATGCTATTGTTTTTCTCTTTTAAATATGTTGTGAGCTAACAAATATATATCCGCTTACTGCTCTACTATTGGAACAGTCCTTGTCTCTGGCACATGCAGATGTTGATGATGGGAAAGTTGTGTTTGTTCCATGGGTTGAAACTAATTTCAGGACAGGAGATGCTCCATGGTGGGCTTGAATTATTTCCATTGTAGAGGGAAAAAAAATCATATGCACCTTTGAAATATATTAAAAAAAAAATTCATTTTATGCCAGAATACTTATTTATATACTAAAAATATTACATACAATCACGCTACAGTGCCACAATATTTGACACAATAGTTGACATAATGTTACATGACACTTTGTCATTGGACTGTTTTTTAAACAGTGATCACGCCACTTAGGATTTTTGCAGTACTTCTGACAAAGTAGCATTATTCTATTACATAACCCCAATAAAAACACCAAAAGAACATAAAGTGAAAATTTTGTTATTTGGAGTTGTAACTGAAATATGCAATGACAAAAATTACGGAGGACATTAATTACGTCGGTTGAGGCTATGCATATTCAAATTTCGAGATTTTCTTACCAAATTCTATTAGCTATTTAGAAAAATTACTTCAGAAATTCATTCTAGTATGTGGGATATTCGTATATATCCCATCCTCAGTTTGTACATCCGATTTGTGGGTGAATCTACTTTCAGTACAAAATTCTTTTTTGCCAAGAACAAGTTAATTATTTCGAGCTTTGAGATAATTCAATTTTAGCTTCGTGAACACCTCTGCTTCCATAATATTAAATACTTGTGAATAATGTAATTTGCATTTCCACATACGTTCTTTATTGTCACAGATTTGAAAATGTTGGAAGGAATATTACTTTTCTAAGTATACAAGAAAGATGGTAGAAGTGTTTATATGTGGTCAACATCAGGAGTATGTGTGATGTTGTTGTTTAAAGGAACTTGATGAATGACAATCTATTCTTGATTTGAGGAAGCATCTGGTTGGTGAACATCTTACAGAAGAAATGTAGATTATTACACTGCCCGTGGATTTGCATGTTGCATTGTTAAATGTGCTTCAAATGGAACAAAAGGATTATGTGATCGAAATCAAATGTTGTATGTAGATATCTGGTCTATAAGTGATTCAAACGTGAACGCTTACAAGTATGAATTTGGAAAATATGTCCACAGCGAAAAGTGATACTTATGAACTTACACTATTAAGAAGTAATCAAAATAAAATAGATTAGCAAGATAGGGAGATAAGAAGTTAACATTTCTAATGACGTGTTTATAATACCACCATATAAAAACATAATAGACATTCAAAATGATGTGTTCCTAATACCACCACCTTTTCTAAGTAATCAGAATCTAAACAAAACAAAATACATCCAAATATTTTCCAACTACTCAAACAAAATACAATAACGTAAAAACAAAGAGTTTGCCTACTGTTAGACATCACAAAATCTTGGAAAATGCAACGGCAAAAAGGTGAACTATTGCTTTCATTGTTCTTTTAACTTCTAGGCTTGGTCTACATTTTTGCCCCTCCTTGCCCCCTCATTAATGGAGAAATTTCAGAAGAAGATAATATGAGAGAATACATGCATAATGCGATTACGTTAAAAGTCAAAAATTAGTGTATGTCTGGAAACAATTTTAAGCAACTTCTAATTACAAATTTGACTGTTAGCCATTTTTTTATTTCAAAGCCTATAGATTCTCCTGACATTGACAGACCACATAATGCTCTACTTTTGCAAAATTGCCCTTCCATTACATACAACCAACAACTCACCTACCAAAATCAATTTGAGGGCAAATATGAGAATATATTTGAGTAATAAATGCACCATACTCAAGGATTTCAGGATGATTTGACAGGAAAATCACTTGTGGATTTTTGACAATTGCTCCCACACACACGTTTAAAATCATGAACCTTGTTGAGGTATCATTTGAGAGCTTTTCATATACTTATAATAGGTTTTTCAAATACTACTCTGGGAAAATATATGTGAATAATATGAATTGAGAAATCTTCAGATATAAAGAAGACGATTTAGAATGATGGAATTCATAACCTTGGTGTATGAATTATAGAAGATGAATCAGTGGCGGGTGGGGGTGGGGGTGTATTGGATTTTTTTTTTATGGAAATGATTGTGGGTTGAAATTATTAGGGGATTGTTTGGTGGCATAAGATGCTTAAGATATCATTTTCCTTTAAAATTGCAGTAATAATGTGATTAAAAACATTGAAAGGTAATATATGAATATTTTATTAAAATGAGTTGTGTGGTGTAATTTCCACTATTGTCGAATAAGTTTTGTTTTTCACATTTCCATTTAATACAGGAATACAGTTCAAGAGAAATGGTATAAACGTTCACACTGACCATGTTATTATTTTCTTACCACTGATCGTTATGCCTCGTTTGAAGAGATGATCAAAATAAACATGGTATTCTAAAAACAAGAGTTCAATAGCTAATTATCCGAAAACTATGCACAAGTGCATCTTGATCTTCATAAATATATCACACGGTATTACAGCATGAGCGATTTTTCTAGGAAAAGTTGGCTCGATAAAAGAAAATCATGGACAGCTAACAAGCCGAACCCAACACTCAATGAATTTCTTAAATAAGCATGTGTTTTGGCTCGAAGACTGCGCGTGCTTACGCATCTTAACTAACCCAAGCAAACCTCCCTGATGGACACTATTTCTCTTCTAGCATTAAATAAGGATGTATCTACAATCAATAAAACATCAATCTCGTCACATTGCCAGAATTTTTTACCACCTTGAATGATATAATGTCACATAGTATTACATCATTGGACTGTTTAAAAAATAGTCAACATTACCATCCAATCATTTTTTACCACAACTTCTGTCACCAAGGTGTAAAAACTTCTGGCAAAAAAGAATAATTCATAAAATATCCGTTCAAATAACAAATTAGTACTTTAAATTGACTTCTTTTCATCCATCTGCCCCTTCAATCAAGCGTAAATAGTGCTAGGGAGTTGTTGGATTCGAAGAAGATGGCTTTGGGCTTTGGCCCTTGGATGTGGTGTCTGAATATCCTTTTCTTTAGGGATGGTGGACGGTTTTAGATGACAGTGGAGCAGTACGGATAGGAACGTAGTACAGAGTTTTTAGTACAATGAGAAACGCTAGCAGTAAAACATGGTAGTACAATGTCATACAATTCAACGCATGTACTTGATTAGCTCATAGTACTATATATAAACATCGAGGAGACACGGGATTGGATTTGATCGGATCCAAGCAATGATGAGCAAGTTAAGGAAGGATGAGATTGGAGAGCCTAAAAATGTCATTGAGTGCAGCGTTGATGATATCTGTTTTCAACAAATGTGATTTTATCTACGCTGCACTCAATAATGTTTTAAGATCTTCAAAGCAATCAACCCGTCTTTTTTTTTTTTTTCTGAAGGCACACTCTTACCTAACAAGTGTCTAGCACACCGCTCGTTTGCATTTTATCCAAACCCAATATCTCCATTGGGAGTACTGTCTTGGAGATGCATGATAAAGGATTGGATTCTCTCTTTCTTTCTTTCTTTTTTTTTTTTTTTTTTTTTTTTGCTATTTATCTCTCTCTCTCTCTCTATTGAAATTACGAGAAAAAATGGAAAGAAAATCCAAACTCCCGGATTCCTAAACCTCTGTATTTATCTCCAAAAAGCGCCTGAGGAAAACCTCGATTAGTAGAGAGAAATCAGAGTAAGTTTTTTTTTATGAATAGCTCCTATATCCAGCTGCAAGGGTCACAAGTACAAGAATTGTGCATATATAGTTTAATTGTTGGTCTGCTGATTTAACTAGAGCAATACAAGTATAAACGAATAGCAATGAAAAACTAACACGTTCATGAATTCAAACCGCACAAGATGATTTTCAAACAAAATACCAGGACTTCAAAAATGGTAGAGATCTGTATAGAAAGATACACAGCCATGCTTGGCCGAGGTGAAAGGTGCAAGGGACTTGAACCCATTAATTTTTCCCTCTAGGTTAAAAGCAGGACACAAAGTGCTAAAAAGACTAAATTAACCTCGAGTAGAAAGTATAAGAGAAACTAAAACCAAAAAATTCTCTCTCCTCTTTCCTCTTTGATTGAAATTGTTGAACAGAAAAAGCATTAATAAAATTTCAATGAGAAGTATATCACAGTAACAGCAAAAGTATTGAAAACTGATTTTTATTTCTTTCCTCCCACAATGGATATATTGTTCTCTACTTGTTGGGACAGCAATTTTCAAATATCTCATTTTCTCTCTAAGCATTATTTTAACAAAATTGCTTTCAGAAATGAAGAAAATGGAGAAACCTTTATGGGGCCATCAGTCCTTCAATTGTATAGACGAGAGACTCTTCCAGGTCAACTTTGAAAAGCAATGTTTGCAGGGTCTTCAGTACATCATACTCCGGATCAAGCTTATGCTGCCACCCCTACAGCAGAATAAGAATGATAAGGACGTAAAAATGCACAACGCTATCAAATACCTCATTTATCTGTTTCTCAGAAATAAGAAAATGTTAAAATGATTATCCATCTTATCAGGTCCAAAGTCCTCTTCACTCTTCATCACCCTTTAGCCTCAAACATTTGGACTAGTTCACGACACATGACAGATAAGCAACTTCATTTAACAATTTAGAACTCAAATGTCACAATTGTAATTTCTAAACTTGAAGCAGATTTATTGACCCAACTTGTATACTGTAATTAAGCAATGTTCAGAGCTCCTCCACTCAGCAGGTGACACCTATCAAAATTATTTTTAATATCTTAAGAATTCAATCTTATAGAAAATGTTCTGACAGAAGAAAGTCAAGAAATAGAAAATGAAAAAGGGAAACTTGATAGCATAGGAGAAAAAGTTCAAAATAAAAGAAATGAAATTCCACTGAAACTAAGAGTAATTTCTGTTCCATTATTGCTTAGAGAACCATAATCCGTTCTGCCATTGTTTTATACATACAATTTGTTGATAAATGAAGCTGATGCTGCATTTAAAGGTCAAACTTCAATATTTTGTTAGTCAAAAGGTAAACATGGGATTATTTCAGAATAATATATGTTTTGTTTCAGCTCCTGCTTTTCGAGTGTAGGACGATAATACCAATTATATGATTCAGTGTTTCCATCATGATCTTAACACAACGGGAACTAGTTTCAGTTTTAATGTTTTGCAGCAAATGAAAAGACTGGCAATCTAGCTCTGTCCTGTTCCTACAGTGTGGAATCAAAACAAGCAAGAGCTTAGGTTTGAATGCTTGTTTGCAAAACAATTGGAGACGCAAAGAATGTGTCTATAGCATTCTAGCTTGAAATTGTTCACAAAACCTATTGTATATAAGACGCAAGACAAAGTCAAATTGAGATGAAATTTCTTGATTCCGGGGTTTAAGATCCAGCATCAATATAAGGCAGAAATTACCTCCAAAACCATAGTAGTTACAATCACAGTACAAATATTGCCATCAATGTTAACTCTGTGCCGTCTAACTTGCTCAAGCAATTGTTGCATGCAATCAGCCGGTTGAAAATCGCCTTCAGCTGAACGCCACGACTTGAAATCTTTCTCCACTTCCTATCCAAGTAGTAAACATTTTTTCTCAGAGATTGAATTAATCAAAGCAGAAGTAAACTTCTATGGTGGATCACTTTCTGAACATTCACCAACAGAACACAACTTACACACATGTAATACATGTTAAATAATTATGATGAACATGCTCAAGTAAATGCAATTTTTTAAAGGTGTCTCTTTTGTCTAGGAGATCAAATTCTACCAACCCCTGAATATGCCGCCAGACATGAACCCAACTCATGAGCTAAAACAAGTTCATGGGAGCTGTATGTAACAAGTGTGAGTATTGCACATTCAATAGGTGTGTCACCTCTGTATTTGCATAATAATAGTCTCAATGAAACAGTACAAACTCACTTTACTAGACTTGATGTGAGTTTGACAGCCATAAAGTTGAAATAAAATTCACATGTAAGGCTATTCCATTAAAATATTCTAAATCAAAACTAAAAAAGTGTTCTTTCCAAAGCCTCATGCAAGGAAGTCGATAATATAAAGAAATATGCTACATACTCTTCACAAGTTTGAAGTAAAATGACAAAGCTCAGAGTCAAACTGGATACTCCAATAATGTTATGTAAAATTTCATTTTTTCCCTTCTATAGTGCAGTACGTGTTAACGTATCCAGCCAGTCTTTGAAAAGGATAATCAATCTGTACATTCTCAAGATAGAACCCTATGCCACACATCTGCTTATAAGTGTATATAATATTGGCACATAGACGTACTGTAGCTGATGGATTAGGGAATGACAAATGTAAAGAACTTCTTGGCCTGACACTGATAGACCTCCACCTCTAATAATATTCCAATACAAGTTTGTTATTCATTCACTATTCTAGAGTATTCTATAGTTAGTTAGCAAAGGGTAAAATTGTAATAGAAAACTAGTAAATTCTCTATAAATGTAATGCAGGGAGCTGGGATAGGCATTCGGGAAATATTGGGAAAATTTGGGGAGAGACCAGGCCTCTCGAAAGCCTTGGAATTGTTCTGTGTCTATTTTCACGTTTAATGCAATAAAATAGCAGTTTAATACACAATATTCATTCTTTCAGTAAGCAATTCAACCTCTTCAAATCAAGTTCTTATCAATTTGCTATCAAAGCAATCGATTCTCGGACTAATGGAAACGATTCTCAGCAGAGAATTAAATGATAGTTTGAACTTGATAAGGAGTACGTTGGAGAAGATGGTAATGCAACAGAAAGGAGATTGAGCCGTTGATCGAGGTTGGATTCATGCGGCCAACTCAACACATCGATATTATATGGGGATAATTTAGAATCGTGGCTGTTTGAGGCGAAGCGATGCCTAAATATGAATCGTGGCTTACCGGAGAGGGAGAAGGTAGAAGCCGCGGTCACTTGCTTCCTTGGAGAGGCTTGAGCATGGTTTCAAGAGATACATACTTGGGAAGAATTGAAGGCATTGATGTTGGATCGATTCCACATGAAGCAGACCTCCGATCGTAAGTACTTAGACGGGAAGCAGGGGGATGACTTGAGCTGGGAGACAGCACGGGAAGAACAAAGCCATAAATTACACGTGTCTGCATCGCCATCATCGATGGAGAAGAAATTCCATCGCACGAAGGAGATCTCCATGGTTCATGAAACTCTGGCGAGCAAACAGTGGGACGTGAGGACTGGAGAGATGTTGGAAGCCCTAGCTTCTTCGACGGAAGTGTATGAACAATGACTATTGCTAGAGGAGAATACCATGGAAAAGAAAGGGGAAGAGAATGGGCTTTAATTGATGGTTGAATTTCAGATAAAAGAATCTATGGGCTTGGATTTGGAATTGACCCAACCGGTGGAAGAAGGCAGCAATGACCACACTTCCAATTCTGAAATCCCAAACAAATCTGATGACAACAGAGATGATAATTGTCGTAATGAATCATGGAGGGTGGAGGGAAGAGGCAAATGGCAGGATATACCTATTTCCAATGGTGTCAGTCCCGACAGCTGGTTTTCTCAAGTACAGAGGAAATTTAACTTAAACCAGTTTTCGAATTGGAGGAAGATCAAGGTCGTTGCAGTTTGTGTCGAAGGAGAGGCTCTATATTATGAAACTCCACCCAAATCTAAGGAAATTGGAGCTACTATAGCCTCTGATAACCCCTGTGATGCCGGCAGCTGGGTCGCCCCTTTATCAACGTCTCTTGAGAGATTGCAAGTATCCCCATCTCCATCGCCGAAGGAGGAGAAGAAGCATGATCGCCGATTTTCGAATCTTCCATTGCCGTTGAGAGATTGTATTGGGGATGGATCAAAACAAGCCAACGTTATCAACAAACTGAATTAGGAAAATAGGGCTAAAGACCAATTGCTGAAACCAGTGGGCTTGGACCATATTAAGGACATGGCCCAACATCTTGAAGAAAGAAATGAGTGGATGAATCAAGCCCAGGTAGGGTTTGGCCTAAATTGGAATAAAAGCCCAAGATATTCTAATTACGCCATCCACCTTCCTCTTCAAATTAAGAAATCAATTTCTCAAATCACTAATTCTGCTCCACAATAAATTGTACCCTATAGATCCCCAATTTCTTACAAAAGGCGAATTGATGTGGATCTTCAATTGAAGTACGAGTTGGGCCTGTTTTTAGGGGGCAAAGAAAACTACTCTATTTGGCATCAAAGTAAGCACAAGGAGTTGCAGGTTTTAATCATCAATAAAGAAACTGTTGGCTGCGATTTAGATGTCGATGAAGGTTAGGGAGGCAAGCCAAGAAGTGATGGGATGGGAGAATTTGTGGATCCTTTTCCAAATACGGTAGCAAGCTTGATTGCACCGATGACCATGGAATAGAAGGGAAAATAACGCAACAGGAGTTTGTGGTGATAATCAAGCATGGGGTTAAACACAAAATAAATTCGAATAGAAGGGCTCACAACTTCCAAATTTTGTGCACGGGCGCAACTGGTTATGGGATTTTCATGTATACCATTCTAATTGTAGGTGGTCGATTAAGTTTTGAGGCTTTAACACAAATACATAATTGGCTAAATAGCACAACTCATGCTCCATCTGTCAAAGAGAGTCTTGTTGATGCTAAACAACAGATTTTTCACAGTTATACCTTCTATCTATCTGCAAGTGATTAAAGATGGGGAAGACTTTTTGAAGGTGCAAATGCTAGAAGAACCTGAGGACATTGAAATAGCTTCATGAGTAGTTGGTATTGACATTGATAATGACGAATCAATCGATGAGAAGTACAAGAAGCAAATTTGCCATGTTTCACCTCTCCCACATGATAGTGAGGACTATCGCCCGATTGAGAAATATATTCGGACTAGACATGTTCCTTCTCATACAAAAAGTGCTCGAGTGGGTGAAAGGAAGTAAATTCAACAAGGATGCCTCATATCAAGCAAAACTGAAGAACAAAATGCTTCTCAAGTATTGCGTAGGAAATTGTTCGGCTATATTGTTATCTGAAATTGGTAATTTTCCCAGACTTCCAACTTAAGGACAGGGTGGTTTTTGGGGCGGCGGGTAATGATAAACCTCCACCTCTAATAATATTCCAATACAAGTTTGTTATTCATTCACTAGAGTATTCCATAGTTAGTTAGCAAAGGGTAAAATTATAATAGAAAACTAGTAAATTCTCTATAAATGTAATGGGAGGGAGCTGAGATAGGCATTCGGGAAATATTGGGAAAATTTAGGGAGAGACCAGACCTCTCGAAAGCCTTGGAATTGTTTTGTGTCTATTTTCATGTTTAATGCAATAAAATAGCAGTTTGATATACAGTTTTCATTCTTTCAGTAAGCAATTCAGCCTCTTCAAATCAGGTTCTTATCAGACACTTACTGTGAAGTTTTTATTAAATGACAAGAAAGCAGCAGTAAGACAGCAAAAATACCTCAATGAATGCCTGTGGATATGGGCAGTTCTGTTTGTTAGATAATCGAAGAGTGTACTCTGCAGCATTGCGACCATCTTGAAGTGCCACTGCCTTAAAGAACTCCAGTACATTGTTTCGATCCTTCTTAGAAAGTTCAGCAGTCATTCCTACATCAAGGAAAATTACATGAGGCCTGGACTTAAACAATGGTTTTGCTGAAGTTTTGCCCTGAGATACTCTAACAAGAATGTTTCCTGGATGCATGTCTGCATGGAGGAAATTGTCCACCTGGAAGTGTGAAAAGTTGAGAAATATCATGAGATCATCTTATGACATAACCAATATCACGAGCTAAATAAGAAAGAATGCTCCCCAACTACCCAACCTGGCAAGAAAATTAAATATGAGAAAATCAATACTGGATGGGATATGTTGAAATCATGAGGAAGAAAATTTTCACAAAGCACTTGAGTTAAGGCCATGACATGACAATTGCCCGTATTCGACACGTTTAAAAGGATATGATAACAAATAATAAAGTGGTGCTTATCCTTAATCTTGCTTAGCACCTGAAAAGAATCAGATCATCTCTAATGCATGCAGTATTGGTGTAAATAAGGTTTCAAAAAGAAAAAAGTTGATATACATAAAACATATTAAGATATCCAATGCACTAAGGCAAACCCAATTTTCATATGCTGAAGAAAAAAATGTAATAGGTTGCTATGAGATTCCTGCACAACTGTATCCTTTCACGGACAGACTGGAGCTTCCCTCTTTAAGTTATATATATATCACCTATCCAAATCTATGTATCTTTCTAATGAAAACAAATTTACTGCTTCACAGATATTATTTTAATTATTTGGATCTGCTGCATAACATTGTTGCGTATTTGCAATCAGACCAAAAAGGTAATGGAAGTCCACGAATTTACATAATCATACCAAGAGCATCTTTAAAAGTGCATGAGTCCCAATATGAGCAAGGGCACTTTTTATGTGTTCATGCCCTTCAAGTTTGTCAACATAGTGAAGAATATTTTCACCATGCTCATAAGTTTCCACTAGAACAGCAGGATGTACAAATGGATATAGAGGTTTTGGGAATGAGACATCCTTCCAATGACGGAAATTGTAAATAAAACGACTCAGATTAGCTGCTTCCCTTGCAAGATCAACTTGTGACATCATGAAGACAGCAAACTGTTGTATGCTTTCATCCAGTCTTAACCATTTCAATGTAGGGATGAAATTTGAAACGTTTGCAAATAATTTGATCAATACAAAATCCCTACGTATTGCTTCAGCAACGCCTGGATGTCTAACTTTTACAGCAACAAGCTCAGGCTTAGCCCGCTGTCCAGGATAACCTACTTTCAGAGTAGCTCTGTGAACCTGAGCAACGCTACCAGATGCCACAGGTTTCTCTTCAAACTTATCAAAAATTTCTGGCAGCTTACGGCCAAATGCCTTTTCAATAGCACTTTGTGTATAGGCAAAGCTATGTGAAGGTGCTTTAGTGTGAAGTTCAGCGAGTTCATTGCACAAATCATTTGGGAACAGATCAGGCCTCGCAGCTGCCCACTGACCCCATTTGATAAATGCTGGACCAGCCTTTTCTAATGTCACACGGACAGCACGAAGCCATGATTTTCTGAACTCTGTGCCAAGAGAATCTGCAAAAGGAGCCATGACTATGCAAGGTAAAAACAGAATTGCCAAGTAGATAGCTCTGATAACCAACATCAAACCCTCCAATAGGGAGACGACAATTGAAGTCAGATAGACATGCCTATCTTGTGCATGCATGTAGAGAGTATCCTTGGTTGGGAGGTGTTCTGCCTCTGCCCATACCCTCTGCTTCCAGGCTAAATCTCCTATAACGCAGGCCAAAATGCCCGGAGCTACAAGGTGCGAGCGGGTCAAAGCAAGGGTCACTGCACAAGCTATCCTACTAATTGGCGCTACAGTTGGCTTGCTATAGGAACATATTCGAACAAGCCTTTTCCAGGCAATTTGAGAATGGTATGCAAGTTCGTCGCTCTTAGAGAAGAAATGGATTCTTCTGCGTCCCCTGCTCTTGTGTAAGATCTCCTTAACTTCACATGAAGTGCATGAAGAAAACCCTCCATTAGAAAGCTTAATGTGCGAAAAAAATCTGCACAGGATGTAAGCTAGCCCAACTGGACGTGACGTCTGATTATAACTTATCTCAGAACAGCAAGTCTTGGGGGTAGAGAAAAGGACTCGTGCAACATTCCTAAAACTGCTGGTAGCCAAAAATCTGCGACTTCAAAAATTGTTTAATAAATGGCATCAGTCATATTTCACTTCATTTAAATTTTACACCGTTATCACTAAGGCCGCATTGCACAGCATGATATTGTGGCTTTCAGAGTTGAGTTCATAAAAAGACACACAAACATTTCTTATGAAAATCTGGAAAAACGAGAATACTTTGTACATAAATTTAATAAAATTGTCCTTGCGCCAGAATATTTCACTTGCTTATTCCGAACACAACCATAAATCCAGAAAGTTACTCGAAAAATAAGTTTTGAAATGCTAATTCCAAAAAATTCAAAAGGCTGCTTCATTATCTCTGTTCAGCTCAAGCGATGGATAGTTTTAATAATTAGTTCTAAGAATAATACACTAAAGTTTCTACTGAAAAGTTCAATTACTTATCCAGTAAAATTAATCGAACATATAAAACATAAACAACTCAAGAAAAATAATGTCAAAGCATTTTAATTAAATAAAGAGAGTAAAGCTTCAAGGAATGGACCTTGAATTCGCCATAGGAATTAGGAGCGAACGGGTCTGCGATTAGCCAGGTTGAAACATTAATAGACATTTTCATTTTGATCCGCCAGCAAATTCATCTGATGATAAGTTGCCGGAAACCGAAACACTGCGGACGGCTCATGGCCAGTGACTGCGTCGTCAATGTTGGCGGCTGAAGAGATGGTCGCTGGACACATGTTTGAATGCGAGGCAAATTTGCAGGAGCGAGTGGGGGGATTAACTTAAATTATGTTGAGGGACACTATCCGCTTGCAGATACAATTCCGGATCGTGGATTGTAGACTGTGGAGGATGAGCATTCTCGTCAAGTGTTACTTTTGTCCGTTTTCACCTCAGATTTGCTTTAAGGGCACCACAACAAAATTTATAAGTGCATCATAATTTTTTATTTTTTTCTTATTTACTTAAATAGCCTTAAACAAAATTACATAATTAGGATTAATATACTTTTAATTAATTACACCACAGATCTAAACCTAATTTCTTCGGCTTCTGCTTCTTTTCTATAATTGTTAGTCTTGTTCCATAATACCACGCGTAAGAATTCATCAATTTGTATAATCATTCTTTATAATTTTATTTTTTTCAATTTGTTAGATCTTATACTTACAAAACGTGACTCTTTATCGGAAACAGCATACTTCAATTCATTATCTATGAAGTGAGCAGCAGTAGATATATCATCTTGACTAAAAGTTATGAATGATACAAACCAAAGGAAAAAAACATTTCAGCAATATATTGTAATTTGGCACATCTTCTTTTAATAATTTTCAAAATATTATAGTGACCTCTCTGAAATTTTAAATCAAGCTCACTTACAAAAATATTCAGATCCATTTTTTAGAAATCAAGTTTTCTTCTTCTTCTTTATCTTTCCCTTTCCCTTTCCCTTCTTTGAAAAAATAATTAATAAAATTAGTGTGGATGCATGGATGCATCCAATATAAAATGTACATAGTGGAAAGAATTGTCTAGAAGAAAAAAAAATGAATTTTTGTTGTAGTGTATTTATTAAAATCTAGATTTTTTTTTTTAAACTAGGTATATAATTGTAAATTTGGTGTGGTGTATTTATTAAAACTATGTTTTAATTGTGGTGTGAATATAATATGGTGTGCTTAATAAATTTTGTGATGGTAATATAATTACACTTGTTTTAAAGATGCATTTGACATAATTAGCCCTTGTTTGAGCTTCATTATTTGAAGGGAAAAAAAATTGATTTTAGAATAGTGCTTTTTTGGAAAATACATGGTTAAAAAGTAAATAGAATTTTTGGATTTATGTGTAATATTATGTTATTAAGGGAATGTGTGATTTATAAGAACACAGAAAATGAAATAAAATTTAATGAGGGCCAAACTGGGGCTTAATTCACGGTGATTGTTTTAACAATTAAATAAATATTTTTTAAAAATATTTATGATTTGAAAAAGTTTTGATTCTTTTCTTTTCTCTTTTTTATCGAATCATAAAATACTTGGGTGATTATATAATTAACATTCAAAATTCTAATGCTATCCTTCTCACTACATACACTTCACCGTGTCTATCGATACGAGAGAGTTTCTGTTACATAGTTCATCTCCTTAAAACATTCAAAATATTAAGCTATATTGTGTTGAACCTTCTGTTGTTGCATACCTACACTTTTTGTTGTGAAGTTTCTACAGGCTTCAAACAGACTGAGCATTAACTAATATAGTTTTGAGAAGTGTGATCTTGGATAATTTAACACTCGTAAGGCTTCAATCATTCACCAGTGTATATAAATACAGAAAGAGGCTATTATGGTGTGATTTACAATATTTTGGATCATAGTTATAAAAAGTGGGAATTACATTCACCCATGTTTTATAACTTTCAATTTTAAAAATAAGATTTAAAAGTTTTTGTACAAAAATCGGTAATAATTTAATTTATTAATAATAAATAACAATATTATAAATTTAAATCAATCTACGCATCCACCTCACCTCACCCTACCCCGCCCATCCCATCCACCTCAAATTCTAAATCATTTTCCCCTTTCTCTCTATCACTTCCCTTCTTTCCTCTCTATCCTCTCTCTTTTTTCGTCAACATAGCATCTCCAACAACCCAAACGATATCAGTAACACAAGCACTTGTAGCACCATTGCGCACAGTGCGACGTCTACACAACACCACTGCACACGATATGATGTTGCACAACAATTGCCTCACAAGGAACAACTGAGGTGCAGCGCGACGCCTTTGAGTGTGGCGTTAAGGCTATTTGACCGATGATGTCAAATCTATCGGTTGAATATCGATGGTTTGTAGGTTGTCCGTAGTTCGTACATTGTGGTTTGTGGTTGAGCATCAACGAAGTTTGTGGCTTGTATATAGTTTGTGATTTGTGGCGGTGGTGGTGAGATTGCAATGTGTGATTTGTATATAGTTTGACAGTGGTGGTGCTGACAGCGATCATGTAGCACAATTTCGATTGGTGCACGTAGTGGATTGGGGTTTATAAAGAGAGTTTGTGACCAATAAAATAGTTAATTTGTGATTAATAAATTATAAATGATCAATAATATAGATAAATTTTGACCCATGAAAGTTAAGTGACTAATTATCCGATAAATTATGATCGATAAATAAATTGTAACTTATAAAATATGCTATTTGTATACGATAAATAATATGTGATTCATTTGCACAGCTTACAAGTCTCTTGCTGCAAGTCATAATTCAATTATTAAAGTTCAATGTGCACTTATTATATGCCACAGTTCACATGTCGTTGTGCATAAGTCTCAAATCAATGTTCACAAGTTATAGATCAAATAAAATTGGTCACAAACTACTTATTTAAGTTTTCAAATCACATTTTATAGTTCACGGGTCATATTTCACTTGTCAAACGTCATATTGTAAGATCATAGATCAATGTCAATAAGTTACAGATCAATATTAATTTGTCACAAATCAAATATCATGTATCTTTGCGCACTGATAATAGGTCACAGATTCAACTTCACAGGTCAAAGTTTATATGTTACAAGTCAAAGTTCATGTCTTACAGGTCATAGGTATCATGTCATATTGCGTAGGTAACAGATTAATGTCTACAGGTCACAAATCTAATATAATTAATCACAGGTTGTTAGATTAATATCACAGGTGACAGATCAATGTATACCACTTACAGTTCAAAGAGAACGGGTTATAGGACATTGGAAGACCATGATAACGGCACCATTATCTCCATTCTCCCTTTTTCTTCACTCCATTCTTCCTTCACTTACAACAATGCTTACACGGAAGACCATTTTAGCTCTTACGTGGAAGACAACGGGTGAAATTGTACGACGGCATTTGCACCACTACACGAAATAGCGACATCTGCGTTTGCACGATCTATTTTTGATTATCTACATTTGTATGCTCTATTTGCATTGGCAATATATTTTCTATTCATTGGTGTGGTATGGTGGTGATGACTGTGGTATGCTAGAGGTGAAGGAGGCGGTAAATTTTAGGCTGATTTTTTTTTTTTATAACTCAGGTGTCCAAACTCTACCTAACTAATCCTGAGGAGTGCTGGTCTAAGTAAATTTGAATGCGGTCACAGCTTTTACACACTTGGGTCGAACATTCGAGATACGGTTCTCCTCCCTGTAGATCTCCATTTACGACGTACGGATAGGATCCCTCGAATGGGCGACAAAGTGCACCATAACTTTGTCTCCATAGGACAACTGTCTTCCAACGTAAATGTTGCCTTCCAACTACCGCGGGGATTTAAACATCCGATACTCCATATAGAACCCTCCTGTTTTACCACTGCATCATGCCCGTGGGGGCAATTTTAGGCTGATGTTAGAAAGATGGGAAGAAGGGAGAGAAAAGAAAAATTTATGACCTGAATTTTGAATGTTTAAAGTTTTCTTTCTTAAAAATGAAATCGTGTTTAATAAACACTTTATATATGTATTTTTCCCTTATAAAAATTACCGATCTAGCCCAGATGGTACAAATTGTGAATTGTTAACCCAATTGTGCTGGGCTTAAAATTCGATTGTTTATGGCAATCATTTGGTAGAACCTGAATTGAATTGACTGGTTTTTTAGCTACTCAATGTGGTCAAAGATTACAATGACAATATTGTTTTTATTAATCTTTTACGGTGCACTAGGCATTTCCACTATGTTCCATAGCATTCTCATCATATATTTTAGGAAAATTTGTAGAAGGTTCCAAACCTTTTAATTTATTGCTGACTACTCCTAAACATTTTATTTTTGCAGTCATAATTCTAAACTTTTCACTTCGATTGTAGCTGAAGTCCATTGGACAAATTCTATCCATTAATCTATTAACGATCGTGAAATTGAGTTTGACTCATTCAAAAAAATCAACTTCATCTTCTCCAAACCACACCGTCAAAATCCAAATTTGAATAGCAAGCAAAAGTTGAAAAAATAATCTATGGTCAATTATAAAATGATAAACCGATGTAGACAAGCAAAAGTTGATTTTGTTTGAAATTTAAAATTTGTCCGTCAAATAAAAGCTCTATTTAGTTCTACAAAGATTTGAGTATTTGTTTTGCAACTTGAAAAAATCTAATGTCAGAGAGAGAGAGAGAGAGAGAGTGCCATGTTGCACAGTGTTTGTTTCTGCGTTAGCTTTAATTAAGAATCATTGTGATTTTTTTTTTTTTTTGGAGATTTGAAAAATCCCTTTTTTATGGGGTTTTTGTTAGAGGAAATGGTGGCAAATAATTACCTGAATTGGCCATTGCCGTTGACTACCATTTTAAAAAAAAACAAAAAAGCTTTAAAATCCTTAAAAACAATGAAAATCCATTATTACCCCTCACACATCCACTTCAACTGACGTCTAGAGAGTCTGAAAAGGGGGAGGAAATTACAGCAAGAAACTGACTGCTGGAATTGGAAGGAAACCGACCAGAGTCCATTTATGAACGAATAAGGTAAGTTTTGCAACTTTTTTCTTCCATTAATCTGATTTTTATGGTTTATCTGTTGAAAAATAGTAGAAGAAATCTTTGTAGAATGTAAATAATTAATGAAAGTGTTTATTTTGGTGGTGTTTTTGGGGTAGCAATCTCCGCCATTTTCGTCGTCTGCAACAAAGCAGGCGGCTAGGAGACGGCCCAGATGCAGGGTCGTCTGGAACCCAGCATTTGGGCCATGCTCGATGTTCGATCCCTATCTCTATTAGATACTTCCATGCAGCGTGTAATTTACTGTTTATTTCGATCATGAACTTCTCAAACTCTTCAAAACTGTAAACTTCTGCAACTCTCCTAAACAACTCAACGATA